ACTGCATTTTGAGAAGGTAGAAAATGGGACCATTCTTCTGCAAAAGGGATATTGTCCTCTGTGCTAAAGATATCAGCTCTAAGCCTACAGTTTCTGTAGAAATAACTCATTTACAACTAATTCTCCTGACAATAGTATACACATTAACCAAGACTTCTCTATTCCTTTACTCTAATTAAGTTTTAGGGTTAGACATAATCATTCTTATCCTGGCCTGAAACACTGGCAAGCCAACTTGAAATGTAAAACCCCAAAGCAATTCAATATTTACTAAATTTAAAGGAAGTAATCAATTTCTAATTCAGATTTATGTACATTCCTTCCCCACTTTAGCACTGTCTTATTTCCCTTAAGTTCCTCTTTGGTCATTAAGATTGTCAGCAAGATTATGGCCATTGAACAATTTGTGACATGTTGCAGATATTTCTAAACTAAATTAAATTGTCAATGTACCTGCATATAACAAAAGAAAAATGTATTAGACACTTAAGGACAGAGCCTCTATATGTTCTATATTCACAGCTGTGTTGCTCCACAGAGAGCTTGGCATGTTCTGTAAATATTTGCAGAATCAATGAAAGAAAAAAAATCTATCTACCACTGATAGAATTACTTGCATACATTAAAAAATCTCAGGCACACCTGCCCCAGCATATGTGTATGTGTCTATGCACACATTTGCTCTCACAAAATTCTCACCTGTTCATCATTCAAGTTGAGTATATCATCTTTCCCCTTGGCATGTGCATTTCTTAAACAAAACACTGAAACAAGATTAACCATAATAAGTGTCCAAAGAAAGATGATTTTGGCCAAGCATGGTGGCTCACGCCGGTAATCCCAGCACTTTGGGAGGCCAAGGTGGGTGGACCACCTGAGGTCAGGAGTCCAAGACCAGCCTGACCAACATAGTGAAACTCTGTCTCTACTAAAAATACAAAATTAGCCAGGTGTGGTGGCACATGCCTGTAATCCCAGCTACCTGGGAGGCTGAGGCAGGAGAATTGCTTGAATCCAGGAGGCGGAGGTTGCAGTGAACTGAGATCACGCCATTGAACTCCAGTCTGGGTAACAAGAGCGAAAAAAAACCCCGCCTCAAAAAAAAAAAAAAAAAAGAAAAAGAAAAGAAAGATGATTTTAATTAACATTTCTTCCAAACATGCCAATCTTCCAGCACCTAAAAACTGAACTCAATTTTCATCTTGGAAAGCTGTTCCCTTATCCCTAGAAAATATAAACCTTTTAAAGTTCCAACTGCCAATTGACATCTCCAGTGCATAATAACAGAAATTCACAGTTTATCTGTTATGCCTCCCCTGGAAAGCTCAGTTTGAAGCACTTTACTAACTTAGACCACTTTTACTTCTGCTCAGACTGATGCTCCACACTTGTGCCTTGTTTTCAATCCTTAATACCTCTGAAGCTAGATTCCTCCATCTGCATTCCTGAGAAGGATGACAAAAGCCAGACTACGCTTTCAGTCTCCTAGGACATCCTGCCCTGGAGATTCTCAGCAGGCAACTGGAAATTGGAGTTAGCCTGGAGCTCCGAAATGAATTAAGGGTTGGAGAGGTCAATTTGGGAATCATTAGTGTAGAGGTTAAAGGTGAAGCTATGTGAGGAGATGAAATTACCCAGGGAGAAAATATAGCAACAGAAGAGAAGCAGATCAATGACAGGACCTTGGGAATTGCTCTACTTAAAGGGGCAGGGGGGAGGGAGAAGATGTGGGCATGCGTGTGTGTGTGTGTGTGTGTGTGTGTACATATGGAAAAGAGATCCCAACAAAGGAAGCCTAATGAATGTAGAGAAGACATCAAGATAGATTATGAACCCTTTCAAGCAAGAGAATATGTGCAAAAGTGCTAGAATCTCCAAAGAGGTCAAGAAGACTGAGGCCTGGGAAGAGGTCATTGAATTGTGAAACATGGTGGTCACAGGTAACCTTTGAGAAAGCAGTCTTTCTGATGCAAATCTTATGAACTTGTGTGCCCAAATATGCATGTGTACAGGTGTATGTGTAGGTACCCCAAATCACCGTAAGATTAAATATACTATTGAGTGAGGCTGCCACTGGGTATGCCAAACAATAATGGTAATAACCACCATTATCAACTGTTGACTATGTGCCAGGAACAGTGCTAAGCACTTGATATGCAAGATCTAATTTTAATCCTCAAAGCAAGCCTATATAGTGGCTACATTTCACATGTGAGAAAACTACCTGAAGCCAACAGAGATGAACTAAATTACCCAAGGTCACACAGTTGGAAAGTAGCAGTGCCAGGATTGGACCTGAGGTCAGTCTGACTCTAAATGCCCAGACTGTCAGTCATTGATGTAATGTTTCCACTATGGCAATATTAATTAGGTAATCTATGCATGAAGGAAAGAGAGCTGATATTGGTTGAGTGTCTCATTGCCAGGTGCTCTGCATAGAACATCCGCTTTCACACATACACCATCAACATTATGGCTATGTTTAGGTAAGCCTTATGAGGGCATATTTTTAAAATTCTGATTCAGTTGTTTTGAAAATAAGTTGAAGCAATATGATTCCGAAACAGCCAGTTATCATTCAAACTTACTATAATAGTTCTCAACGTTTGAAAGGTACAAAAAAAAGTGTGGCATCATTGATTTGGTGGTTGTTATCAAGATTCAAATTACTGACAATCATACTCATCTGAAAAAGGAGGGAGTGGGAGTGTGACAGGATGATCTTAAAGCTTCCCTCCAGCCTGGACTTTCTATGATTCTTGTATGCAGGTCTAATGCCAATAATTTTAAAGATATGCAATATGTAGTAGAATGTAAATGCAGCAGCAGAACTGATTGGCATGTCGGCATCCTTTTATTCATTAAATTTATAGAAGTCTATTGTTAAAATATTATAAAAATAAGTCTGGCTGTTCAAGGCATTGATTGCTAACTGCAACAGAAACTTGGAAACTCCATTACAAGATGATACACTGAAAATCCAACCAAATAATTTGCTTACAGTCAACTGCAGACCCTATGATACAATTGGCTATAGGAAAAAGAGAGAGAGATTGACAGGCACTCTGGCTATTAATGTTTTTGCTGTCCTTAGAAAAACAAATGAGGTTCTGGTCTGAAGCAATTAGTATCGCTGTTAATTGTGCATGTGTGTAGCAATAATACTAGGCATTTGGGATGGCTTCCACTGATTGTTCCCTTCTTTCTCTGGATTACAAAAATCTATTCAGACAACTAAAACATAGCAAGTACTTAGGCAAATTGTTAATTATGAGGCAGAGATCATCATAATCTTGTACATTTATGAAACTGCATATACGATGGGGATTACTAAAAATATTGCTTGTTTTATTATTTTACTAGTGGTTGAAAAATATGCTAGCCTTGCAAATAGTTTTCATACATCATTCAGCTCACCAAAATTCAAGAAGGGCCCCATTGATATTTACCAAAACCGTTTCTTTCCTATCTCACCATCTGCACTCCTCTTTTTTTCTCTCATTAAGGCCAGGTATTAGTTGCTCTGACAATAATTTCTGGTCCAACTAATCAACACCATAATAAAAATAAAAAGTGTGTCAGGATTTGCTTTGTTATACAGCAAAACTGTTTTAAAGAGATGGTGCTATCATCTAGTAATTTTAAAGCAAAAAGAAAACAAAATTCTCAAGACTTCCCCATAAAAGCTATTATAGGGATAGTAGTCCCTTTGTTATTGACCATTGTCTTAATGGTCATCCACTCCACTTTATTTTACAGGCGAGGAAATTAAGGCTCAGAGTGGAGCTAGTGCTTGATAAAAGTCACCTCATTAGTAACAGAACTTGGTACTTTGCCTCCATGACATACCCAATTGATGATATTTCAATGTTCTCCCATACTAATACTGTGTGATTAGGTGTCTATGTGTGTCTGTACTATTTAGCTCAATAAATTATAATCTGACTACAAAATTAAACACTAAATTTACTATTCTCAGCTGTCAAGTAAATTCATTGAGGCCCTAATGGGAGTATGGAAGCCCAGCTACAAAAAGCTAAACTAGGCATCCCCAAAATGGCTCAAGTAGTCTATTTTAATGGGAGTCTGTCCTTGTGGAAAAATGCCAGAGCTACAGTCTTTGCTCTTGCTGACCTATCTGGCCAGGGAGCACAGGGTGGATTGTAGGTGGGTATTAAGAAAAAGCAGAGGCACTAGTAAATATTTCTGGAGCCAATAAGCCTACAAAAAGCTAAAGACAGTATTGGTGAGCATCATGACCTTAGAAAACAATGTGCCAAGCCACTAGAGCACACATTTCCAAAATGGCTTATGGTTCCTGCTAGCCTCTCCGGCTCTGGTGGCAATATGATGGTACGGCTCTTAGCAACAGTTGTTGCCTGCAGGGGCATCATCCGGGAGCATTCTCAGCGTCCCTCTTCCCCACAGAGAGGAACTTTCTTGTATTTGATTAGATTTGCTCTCCTGCAGGGTTCATGTCATAAAGGCCCCTGGCCTATGGGATTACTTGTAAATATGCAAGTCTACATATTTACATACGTTAAAAGCCCTGATATTTTCAAATAATTGATTTCCCTTCAAGGAAATGCTGACCTACTTGTTCTCTAAATCACAGTCCAGCCTAGGGACAGGTAGATGTGCCCGAAGCACTGTAAAGAACACTTTGCCAATGGTTGGGGTCTTCTTAACAACACACTGTACTATGTCATCCTATTTCAGCAAAAAGAGGAAAAAGAGCTAATGACCTACTGCACACCTGTCTGGGGTGGTCACCCTGAACGTTCATCCCACTTCTGCACTAAGTTGGCCTTCAGAACTGAGACTCCAAGCCTGGGTAGTTTCAGCTGTTTTAAACGAAAAAAAAAAGAGCCCTGGAAAGAATTTGTCCAAGCCAAAAACTTAACTATTTGTTGTACTGAAATTAAACTGACAGGCAACTGCAGAGTCTCTTTATTCTAGCTTACTTGGTTCAGTCAAACTAAAAATATATCATTACTTACCTTGCTGCATCTAGAATCTGAAAAATCCTCCACCTGTTAAAGGAACAGTAAAACCAGTCGCTAGCAAGAGCTTGGTAGGAGAGGAGTTAAAATAATAAAAGTTTTCCATTTTGCTTTAATAGCATATTTCTCCAGCTTCCCAAACCTCAGGGAAACAGCTCATAGATGGCTTCTCCACTTTGCTCCCCACTGGCTCCTCTCAAGTAATGGGGAGATTCCCAATCAGAAGGCTAAAAGGGGCAAGGCTGCACTGAGAGCCAGATCCCTGGAGTGCTGTGGGCTGGGAATGAGGGATCTACCACTCGCTCATGCTAATTCCATTCTCCTTCACAGAGAGCAATGGGAATCTAGGTAAAAAAACAAAAGCCAATAAAGCAAAACCCAAACCAAACCCAACCCTGTGGCATCACCGAAATGGAAATGCCTGATTGAAAGGTCCTAGGAGGAATTGGCAAGGATTTTTCATATTATCAGGAATATATGAAACACAAATAACAAAAGGAAAATAAAAGAACAATTAGACTTTACTCATGCTCTTTAAAAAGATGAAAATTCAAAGCACACGTAAAGTGATATATAAATCATCTCTCTAGTCCCTTCCACTCAAACACAAGACATCCATCAAAGTAAACAGTGTTTCTCCATTCAAAAAACATGCTTAGCTGTTTTTATAATGTATGTCTTAAGGATCACAAAACACTCATTCCACTGGGTGAATTTCTGATATTATTAGCAGGCAGAGACTGTGAAGTTATACACAGGTCAGTTGCTAATTTGAGGGTTCAAATGGGCTCAGTTAGCTTTTTTTTATTATTATTATGCCAGAACAAGGAATTTTACAATGTAGCAACACTTCTTTTATGCCCGAAGTGGGCTATATAGCCTGTGCATTTTCTTGGGAGAAATGTTTCTTTACAGCAAATACGTTCTGCAGGCCTTAAAAGTGAGTTAAGAGAGCCTTTTTTAATAGCATGGCTAGCAGCAGAGCCTTTGAATCATCATTTGAGAAGCAATACATGGCTCTTTTATTATCAGTCTCTGGTGTGGTTAAGCCCCCTTTCCTTGTTTCTGAGCTGTTAAGACTGCTGGGGAAGCGAATGTCATGAGAAACAAAAGCGATATACTTGGTGAGGCCTAACATCAAATCTGTTAGACAAGGCACTCCTATTAGTGGACTTACCATCCAGAGCCCAATGTGCTCGTCTTCTACTCCAGCCATAAGAAATAAGTAATCTACAATGTACTGACCTATCCCATGATTTAGAGTCCCTACACAGTGAAGAGAGGCTATGATCCCTTCCACAGCACTTGGCCTTGTGAACAAAAATAACACAACTTTGAATGAAAAGACAAAACACACACACACACACACACACACACAGACACACACACAAGAATATATTTTTAAAAGGAAAACATAAAGCCATATATTGTTCCTAGGATCAGAAAATTCCGAAGTGAAGCAAGCAGCAGTTTCCAAAGCCATAATTTTCATTTCACTGTACTGATAGAAATTCTCAAATAATGTTAAGTGTATAAATAATTGATTTATATGGGAACGGGATCAAATTTAACTTTAATCAAGGAACTATTATTGTCTCTTGAGATTTTTTTTTTATTTCTAGGTCAACTTCTTGACTGCCTAATAAAATTTGCCCAGTGATTGCACTGACTTCTCAGTGCAATGAGCTTTTGGAAGCTCATTGCCTTACCTGGGAGCCCAGGTGGGTAGAGGTGGAGTATTGACAGTCCGTGAAGACGTTACAGGTGCATCAATCAAAAGGGTGGCCAGTCATCGGAAGTGTGCCAAAGTTCATAGGGAAAAGGTAAAACAAAAGAGACATACTAATTAGAAGAAAATGAATTAATTTTAAGAACCCATTTTATGCATATACACACACACTCACTCTCTTTGGGAAGGTTCTTAAATGAAATCCTTTAAAAATGCCCTTTAATCATGATGTTTTATTAAAAATATTTATTATCGATTATGTGCCAGCCATTGTTAGAGATACTGAGGATACAGTAGTGAATAAAACAGACAAATATCCCTGACTACATCTTGTGGAATATTTTTAGGCCATCTGCTTGGAAAAGGGTTCTACAGAAATGTACTCTATGTTATCACTTCTAGGAAAGAGTTTCTCCCTGTTTCATTTATGCCTTTGTTTATGTATGGAGAACATACTCGATGGCATCAGATTAAACATTTGCATTAGAAAGAATTCACTTTCGGATTGGAGGGGATATTATAAATTCATAATTTCTCCTTGTGGAAAGCCCTCCCAACAGGCTATAAATCAGGTTTCTTTTCAGTTGGGCCATTTGCTACCCAGAGAATGCCACGTGCTTGCACCTTGAAATACTGTAAAAACAGGAAGCCTCTAAGTGGCAGTTTCATAATACTGTAGTCCCACATCCCAACAAAGTGTTTCTCATTTATTGCTGTCATGTTCTGTAGCAGCTGGCCTGGCTGACACTCTAAGATGGGATTCATCAGCCCTCAGCAAGCCATATCCTGGAAAAGCAGCAGCACTGGATGGACAAAAGGAGCTGTGGTTATCATGCCCATTACCCAGACACTGGCTGGAGAAAAAGCCATAGGAATAACCTTCCTCTGAGCCAGGTTCCAGAAGATATGGCTAAATGTCACTCAAATGGTACTTAGGCAACTGCCTAAGCATCCCATCAGCAGGGAAGGCAAAAGATGAAAATGAAGGAAACACATATATAGCACTGGAGTAATGGGAATAGCGGGAGACTTGGGAATCCAAAAACTCCAGATGTGGATTCATCCTAATCAGGAACCTCAGACCATGACACTTATGCTTGGCATTTACATTCTCAGGATGGGTGCTTAGGGCTTCAGAAATGAAAGTGAAACGATTCACTTTTGTATGAAGGATCCAAATTAACACCTGGAAAAACCAGGATGAGGTAAAAATCCAAGAGCCCTTGACTGAGAATCAGGATCCCTGGTTTTTAATCCAGGTTTTACCAATGACTCATTTGATCTTGGGCAAATTCTCTTCTCCACTCTCCCAGGGAGCTGTATGACATGAAGGAGCTTGACAAGATGGTTTCTAAAATTCCCCCAGTTCCTATATTCTTTCATTCTCTAATAGCTTTCCCTTGAATTTGGGTGCCACGTTACTTAGAAGTATACAAATCCCTAGTCTTTTCCTCAGTACAACATGTTATTAGTAGTTCATAGAGCCCAGAGCACAGCCTTCAAAGAGTTTATGAGTAAATGAGAGTATGTCCAAAATAATAATGGCCAAATTTAAATGCAGCTGAACATCATTCTGTCCAGAGAAACAGCTTTGTTAATTTGAAACATAGAGTAGCAGATTCTTTATGATGGAAAAATTATACAAGGAAACTTAATTGAGAAAAACAAGAAAAATCGAACTGATGAACAACTGACCCTCTTGCACCGCCACCACCCTCCACATTTCTCTTTCTGCTCATGCAGATTCTTCATCTGCCGGGAGCCTGGGATATTGGTGATGGCTGTTCATTAGCAGAGACCTCCACAGCCACACACTTCCATATAATGGCTAGAGAGAAGGAAGTTGTTAAGAAACCCACACCAACACTGTTTGGGTCAGATTGCAAATCTGCAGCAGATAGTACACTCTATTAGAAATAACTGCCTACCGCTGTTCCAGAGCTGCCAAGCAAATGGCCCATTCAACCTCTCTGGTTTCTGACACTGAACCGGCATGCTCACCCTCCCTTTAACTGCCACACCAAGAGCTGACATGTTTTAGAATTTCCACGTTCTCCCAGTAGGATGCCCTTCCACCATCATTCTGGTCTCACCTACTCTATGGCTTCTCAGAAACCCACCACTTCCTTTTGTATTTCAAGCCACCTTCCTCTTTTGATCTCTAAAGGCCAAATACGGTATATCCTAGTGAAAAATGCCTTATGTTAATACATGCTAAATTTTATTTCCCTAAATGGAAAGGGATGTGATGCCCCCGAAGTCCCAGGCTAAGGACTCTTGCTCAAACTGGTGGAGGTGAAGGGAGGAGCCAGGCAAAGGGCCTGGGTGTTTCTTACGGCCCTAAGCAAAACAAGCTACCGGTCTTTTTTACTCGCAAAGTGTTAAAATGCTTGACCTCAGCCTTTTGCTTATGCACAGTCCTGAGAGGTGGTGTGGGACCATGAAATAAGTCCAGTAGTCACACAGACTGGATTCTGGTCCTAAGGCTCTTTCACTTACCAACTGCATGACACTGCAAAGGCATCTTAATCTCTCAGCCCTGATTTCCTCACCTACAAAATGGGGACAAGGCGGGGCATGGTAGCTCATGTCTGTAATCCCAGCACTTTGGGAGGCCGAGCAGGTGGATTACCTGAGGTCAGGAGTTCGAGACCAGCCTGGCCAACATGGTGAAACCCTGTCTCTACTAAAAATACAAAAATTAGCCTGGCGTGGTGGAGGGTGCCTGTATTCCCAGCTACTCAGGAGGCTGAGGCAGGAGAATCACTTGAACTCAGGAGGAGGCGGTTGCAGTGAGCCGAGATCATGCCACTGCACTGCAGCCTGGGTGACAGCATGAGACTCTGTCTCAACAAAACAAAACAACACAACCAGCAAAAAACAAAGTGGGGACAAGTATAGTGCCTACACTGGTGATGACATTCACCATCTTTAACAACAGATATGGTATCAGAACTGACCAATCAGAAGAAAAGACAGCTCTATCAGAGCAGAAACCAACAGCAAACAACCTGGGTAGGTAGGCCCATGTGTTTCCGTCTAGAAGGGTAGTTCCTAAAGTACTTGGGAGGATTAGATGTGATCGTGCATGTAAATCATGTAGCAGAATGTCAGGTCCACAGTCATCATACAATATGTTTTAGGCATTATTACTGTCACCTAGGGAGGAAGACCAATCAGAGAATTGTCTAGAGGCATAGTGAGTCTGTGGCAGGCCTGCCACACAACTCCCAGTCCCCTGTAGCTGAGCCATCTTGTCGCCCTGTGAAAAGAACCAGCTTTTCAAAAGCAGGGCTCAAAG